GGGGTGCGTTTCGAGAGGCCATGCAGTGAGTGAAGAAAGAATCGCTCATCTCTCGCGTGTGTAGTATCCACTTACGTTCGCCATTACAAACCGCCGTCAAGCGGAATTGTGTTGGAGTTCTTTACAGAGAGCATTTTAGCGTAACGTTGAACGCGATAGTTTTTCAGTGTACCTTCTTACAACTAAGAGATCTTATTGTCATTCGCAACAGGGGGAACCCCATCGTGGCAACCAAGAAAAGTGGAGCTGCCGAGGAAGAAGAGAAAGGGGAAACATAGCGAATAGAATCCTGTTCAAGTGCTCCACAAAAGAAATCCTAGTGTAATCCGCAACAGTAGGAATCCTTTGTAATCACCCACAAAAAGGAATCCTATTGAATCCTCCACAAAAGGAATTCTATGGTAAGTCTCCACAAAAGAAACCTTATTGAATCCTCCACAAAGGGGAATCGATTGTAATCCTCCACAGAAGGAATCTTATTATAATCCTCCACAAAAGGAATTCGATTGAATCCTCCACAAAAGGACTTCGAATGTAATCCTTCACAAAAGGGATCTTATTGTAATCCTCCACAAAAGGAATTTTAGCGTAATGCGCCACAAAGGGGAGCTTCTTGCGATCGTCCACAAAAGGAACATCCTATTGGAATATCCAGAAAGGGAATCCTATTGTAATCTTCCATAAAGGGAATCCTATTGAATTCTCCACAAAAGGAATTTTACTGTAATCCTCCACAAAAGAAATTCTAGTGTATTCCTCCACAAAAGGGATCCTATTGTATTCCTCCACAAAAGGAGTCCTATGGAATCCTCCACAAAAGGAATTCTACTGTAATCCGCCACAAAAGGAATCCCATTGTAATGCGCCACAAAGGGGGTCCTTTTGTGGCGGCCAGGAAAAGTGGGGGGGGGGGGTGGGGGCGGAGGAAGAAAAAAACAAAAAACAAAAAAAACGTTGATTTTTTTCCGCGACCCCGCCCGTTTTTTTTTTTTTTTTTTTTTTTTTTTTTTTTTTTTGTTTCTTTTCCACAAAAGGATTTCCTTTGTGGCGCGTTGCAATAGGATTCCTTTTGTGGAGGATTACAATAGGATTGCTTGTGTAGAGGATTTCAATATAAGACGAAGCCGGGATCGGGGCAAAGTTTGACCGGGATAAAAATCATGCTAGGTTTTTCAAATCACTGGGGGCGCCACCGAACGGGCCTGCCACGCCTTGGGCACCATCGGCTTCGCGAGGGAAGGAATGCGTCCCGGCGCGGAAGAGGCCACGGCGCGTATTTGGCCACGCGCGCGCCCGAGGGAATTTCGCGCCAAGCGCCTTTCACTCCAGAAGACCCGACGTCAACAAAACAAACTTGAGGCCCCAAGGGGGCCCCAAAGAGGCGGACCGCCAAAACAATCACGCAACCAGCGCAACGAAAAACACGTGTAAATGTCAAAAAAACGCAGCACTCAGTGACCTCTACGGCCACGCAACACCGCGAGAATGCCCAAGAAGGCATTGGAAAAGGAGCCCGCGCGCGGCCTGGCGACTTCCCCGCGCCGCCCCAAGGTTCCCGAAGCGCGCCGAAATAACCGTAGAGAAAACCCCGGAAAGTCTTTGGAAGGCCCCCGCACTATGCAATGTCCGCCACCGAATAAGCTCGCGGACACCTAGCGCGCACGCGCGGGCGTCCACATGGATGCCCAACTCCGGTTTCGGAGACAATCGCGCGCAACCGCCCGGGGGCTTCGGCAACCTCGCGATTGGCCCAGGGGCCCGCGGGCCCCAGGGAATCGAGGACCGAGTTCGCGACTCCGGAAGCATCGGGCGCGGCGCCAGCCAGTCGCTCGTCTCTGGCTGACAGTGGGACGCCTGGAGATCCGGTTAAACCTGAGGAACCGCTTTTCAGAGATTCACAGAACCAGAAAACGGGGCGCGCCAAATTCTCGCGTCCGAGCTTCTCTGGGAATCTCTGAGAATCTCTGAACTCGACACCCCGCGTGAAACATTCCCATAAACCCAAAACCTCGGAGCTGGCCGAAATTCTCTGAGAGTTTTTCGGCCCGCGAAATTTGGCGCGCCCGGATTTCCCGTTCCGAGATTCTCTGAAATCGGCCTGCGGCGGCGCCCAGCAGGTCTTCACGCGCCGAGGGTGGGGGCCGTGGACATCGCAGGCCGCGATGGTCCCGACCACGAGGTCCTTCCTCCTGCCCCTCGACGAGTCCACGCCCATGGACACGCTCTCTGCGCTGAGCGTGGACCGCGCCATCCGCCGGCACTTCTGCGCGACGACAGCCAACTGGCCGCCGACGGACAAGGCGATTCTTTTCCGAGCTGCGCGTGCCACCGAAAACGTACAATAGCCCCGGGCTCGGGGAGAAACACTTTGGAAGCATTTTCAGGCCGCCAGCGTCGTGGCTGCCGACCCGCCGCGCGCCGACCGCGAGACTAGCTGGGCCCACTACGTCCACGGCGGCGGGCGGGCGCCCAAAAGAGCTGTCGCGACGGTGCGCGCGGCGGGGCGCCCGCCCCACTGCAACCGCACATGCGGCCTCCATGGCGCCACAGGCGTAATATGTGTGACGCACTCTCGGGCCCCCCATCAACGCATCGGCCAGCGCCCAAGCCCCTGAAACGCAAACCTACTGCGCACCCCGTGCAAGCCGCGCACCCGCTCCCAATGCTCGTGTGCACCAGCTTTTCTGCCCGCCCTCAACAGTTTAATTGAGCGCCCACGCGTTACTTGGGCTCCTCAAGCCCTCGAAAAGTCCTTGGGGAACTTCTGCGAATGCGCGCGCTGCGCTCCACAATTCGGCGTTCTATTTTTCTTTGGAACTCTCCCAGAATCTCTGGTTCCGATTTGTCCCGATCTTCCGCTCAACTGACAATAGGATTCCCTTTGTGGGCGCTTACAAAAGGATTTCTTCTGTGACGGATTACAGTCGGATTTTTTCTTCGCCCCCCCCCCAAAAAAAATAGGGAGAGTGAGGGAGAGAGAGAGAGAAGGAGAGAGAGAGAGAGAGAGATAGCGAAGAGGAAATCGAGAGAAAAAGCTCGGGAACCTCTAGAAGTGAAGTCGCCCGGCGAAGGCCCCCCGAGGCCGAAAACTGCCAAAAACCTCCCGTCCTGTTTTTGCACGACGCTACCCTGTCTGACCACGCAGTTCACATGACGGTGGAGGGCGCCAGACTGTACCTCCGCACCGGCCCTGGCCATGCCCGTACTGGCCCAGGGATCGGCGTGTGTACACGCCCTCCTGCCCTGGGCATGCAATGATGAAGAGGCCCTGGGACACACGAATAAATACGCACAAATGAACATATTCCCCATAGTTGTTCGTATATTTTCTGGGTTTTCGTCTTCCCCCCCACTTCCCATATTTTCGCATATTTTCTGGGCAGTCGACGATTAATTGTGTCTTTGTGTTTTTGTTCCCTCCTGAAATACGCACTTGCAACGATCTGGGGCCCAGGGTGGGCAGGGCCAGGACCAGTGGGGGCGCGAAATCCGGGTGGAGTACTAATCGGATGGGTGGGTGACCACCATTTCGACGGAGCTTGCCCATCCCACCCCTCGCCACCTCCTCCACCTCCTACTCCTCCTTCTCCTCCTCTTTATCCAACCCCCCTCCACCCGTTCCGACAGACAGCACGTGCCCCCCCCCTCCTCTTCCTCCTCCTCCTCCTCCTCCTCCTCCTCCTCCTCCTCCTCCTCCTCCTCCTTCTCCACCTCCTTACCCCTCCTCCTGCCCCTCCTCCTCCTCCCTCCTCCTCCTCCTCCTCCTCCTCCCTCCTCCCTCCTCCTCCTCCTCCTCTCTCCTCCTCCTCCTCCTCCTCCTCCTCATCCTCCTCCTCCTCCTCCTCCTCCTCCTCCTCCTCCTCCTCCTCCTCCTCCTCCTCCCCTCCTCCTCCTCTCCATCTCCTCCTCCTCCTCCTCCTCCCCTTCCTCCTCCTCCTCCTCCTCCTCCTCCTCCTCCTCCTCCTCCTCCCCTCCTCCTCCCCCCCCTCCTCATCATCCTCCTCCTCCCCTCCCTCCCTCCTCCTCCTCTCTCCTCCTCCTCCTCCTCCTCCTCCTCCTCCTCCTCCTCCTCCTCCCTCTCCTCCTCTCCTCCTCCTCCTCCTCCTACCCTCTCCCCCTCCTCCTCCTCCTCTCTCCTCTCTCCCTCTCCCTCCACCCGTCCCTCCTCCTCCTCACGTGCCCAACCCCGCCAGCGGATCCAGGGGGGGGGGGGGGGGGGGCGATTATGCAGCGTAGTTGGTTCCCTCCGAGTTGGGGCTGTTGAGAACCCTTTCGGCTGTCGGCCCTGCCTGGAAGGCCTCGCGAGCGCGAAGGCGCCTCGATAGGGGGCTCCCGGGTAGGAGGCGCGGGGCCGCCGAGGCCGGTCCGAGGCGCAGCGTCGCCCCCAGAGCGAAGCTTGAAGGGGCCCTGGGACACACAAATAAATACACACAAATGGAACGATTCCCCATATTCTCCCATGCTTTCTAGGTTTCTGTCTTCCCCACCACTTCCCATATTTTCCATATTTTCCTGGGGATCGACGGTTAATTGTGTCTGTGTGCTTTTTCACCTCCTGAAAGCTGCCGATGCAGCGAGGCCCAATGGATCTGCCCTTCTCGACGCCCCCTTCTGACGTGTACGGCAAGTTCGTGTCCTGACGACCCCGGCGGTGGTTTCTGACTCCGCGCGGACTTTTCAACCTTGAACCATCGGCGGTTTCTGGTTTTTTGATAGCCCGATCGTTCCCATGTAGGCCGATTCTGGGCCACTTGCGGCGTTCAACCTTGAACGCCCGCGGCGGGGTCGCCGCCGGTCGACACGACGCGAACCTACTGTCCTCCACTAGCGGGCACCTCGGCCAGCGACTCGGCGAATCAAACCCTTCTCGGGTGCGGGCCATGCTGCAATGCCCAAGAGGAAGCCCCTGAAGCGACAACCTTCGACGGCTGTCCAGGATACCCATCAGTGAGTATTCATTACGACGCCGCTGATCTTCTCGCACCCGACTGCTCGAAATCATAGTATAGATGACGGTGGGCTCCAGCTTGTCCTTCCGCACGTCGCCCAGCAGCAACAGAGCGCGCTGCCACTGACCGCCTTTCTCGCATGCGCTGATCCCAGCGTTGAAGCTAATGACGTCGGGTGTCAACGTTGCCTCCCGCATCTCGTTGAGCATCGACAAAGCCTCCCGCCACTGCTCGCCTTTCTCGCACGCGCTGATCCCAGCGTTGTAGCTCATGACGTTGGGCTCCATATCTTCTTCCAGCATCTCGCGGAGCAGCGACAGGGCCCACTGCCACTGCTTGCACTTCTCGCATGCGCTGATCCCAGAGCTGTAACTGATGACGGTCAGTTCTAGCTTTGCCTCTGACGTCTCGCTGAGAAGCTGCAAGGCCCGCTGCCACTGCTCGCCTTTCCCGCATGCGCTCACCCCAGCGTTGCAGCTGATGACATTCAGCTCCACCTTTGTTGCCAACATCTCGCGGAGCAGCGACAGAGCCCACTGCCATTGCTTAGCTTTCTCGCATGCGCTGATCCCAGCGCCATAACTGATGACGGTAAGCTCTAGCTTTGCCTCTGACGTCTCGCTGAGAAGACGCAGGGCCCGCTGCCACTGCTCGCCTTTCCCGCATGCGCTGATCCCGACATTGCAGCTGATGACATGCGGCTCCACATCTGCTTCCAGCATCTCGCGGAGCAGCGACAGAGCCCACTGCCACTGCTTGGCTTTCTCGCATGCGCTGATCCCAGCGCCATAACTGATGACGGTAAGCTCTAGTTTTGCCTCTGACGTATCGCTGAGAAGACGCAGGGCCCGCTGCCACTGCTCGCCTTTCTCGCATGCGCGTATTCCAACAGCGTAGCTGACCAAGGATGCCCCCCCCTCGGGAGCGTACTTGCATGCGCTTGCCTGCTTGACTGGTTGCCCGCTGTCTCGCCTGCGTGGTTGCCAGCCTTGTCAATGGCCCGGCAGCTAGTGGCATGCTGGCATGTGTGTCGCATGTCTGCGTCAAAATTTACTCGACTACTCACTGCCGTTTCCTGTCGCTGAGGAATGCTTGCTGCCGTTTGCTGTTGCAGCTTGCTGCAGCTGGGTGATGCTGTTTGTAGGTGCTGCTTGCTGCGGGATGGCGCAAGCTGCTGCTATTATCTGACACCTGCTGCCGCTTGATATCCCCAGGCGTAACTAATGCTTGCTGCGTGGTGTGTGTGTGTGTGTGTTGGCTGTTGCTGCTTGCCGCAGAAGGTGCCGATGCTCACCTGCGTGCTGGTGCAGCCAATACGTACGTGATTGCTGCTCCAGGCGTCGTACTGCTGTCCACCGCTGCTTGCTGGAGCTCCGCGCTGCTGCTGCGTGCTGCGGACGTGTGGCGGTCTGCCGCTGCGGAGCGCTGCTGATTTGCCGCTCTGCTTGCAGATGCCGCCTGCTGCTGCGGACTCCTCATCCTCCTCCTCCTCCTTGTCCTCCTCCTCCTCGTCCTCCTCCTCCTCCTCCTGCTCCTGCTCCTGCTCCTGCTCCTGCTCCTGTTCCTGCTCCTGCTCCTGCTCCTGCTCCTGCTCCTTCTCCTCCTCCTCCTCCTCCTCCTCCTCCTCCCCCTCCTCCTCCTCCTCCTCCTCCTCCCCCTCCCTCCTCTCAAGGGACCATCTCGCGACTCTCTGGGGCCGTCCTGAGAGCCGCGCCCTGGGCCCCCCAGGGGACCCCCAGGGGGCCACCCTGCCGCCCCCTTGGGGGCCGCCTTGGGCCGACCTGGGCCCCTTCTGCGCTGCCCTGGGGCGCCGCGCGCGAGCCCCTCTGGGAACCAAGGGCTCCCAACTTCGCGCCTCGCGCTGCGCGAGAGCGCGAATTGCGAACAGCGTCGCGCTCTCTCGCGCCGCCTCCCGGGGGAGAAGAGGAGGATGCGGAGGCATCGGAGCCGAAGCGCGCAGCGCGAAGCGAGAAAAACTTCGCGTCCTCGAGGGCGCCCCCTTGGGGAACTGGCGGGGGCCCTCCTGGCAGCGCCCTGGGACCCTCTCGGGTCCCATGCCTCGTGCCCGCACCCCGCCCCCTCCCACGAAAAGGGGCCCGCGCAGAGGCCAGCCAAGGTGCGAACTGGACCCCACCTGCTGGAGGAGGAGGAGGGGGAGGAGGAGAAGGAGGAGGAGGAGGAGGCTTGCGGCTTGCGGCAGCCGAGGCGCAGGTCTGTGACTAGCGCCGAGCAGTGAAGAGGGCCAGGGGCAGGCCTGGCGACGGGGGCGCTACGCGCCCCGAAGACTGGCCTCCAGCGTATTGGAGTATGAGCAGGAGGCCAACTCTGATTTAATCAGAGTCCGAAGCAGGCACCGACGGCTCCTGAGACAAAGCTGTGCTCGCAGCATTCGCTCGGGACTCGAGCGTGGCTGCCGAGGGTGGGCAAGGACGTGGTGCACGACGGGACGACGTCACGACACGACCACCACATTGCCTTTGCTCCATACTATCCTGGTTGGCCGAACACGCAGAGCTAGCCCTAGGTCCAGTAGCCTCGGAAGACGGGAAACGATCGGCCCCAGGCTCCGAACCAGAAACAAGGGCGCCATCCCACGGACCCAACGCTTCGCCCGTCTTGGGGTGGCAACCTACCTCTGCGTGCCGCCAGTGCATTCTGTGATTCTGAATCGTGCTGGCAACCTTGGCCTCCCCTTCGCACACTCTACTCAGCTTGCGGCATTTGCCGTCGGGGAGGATCCAGTATCCAGCACACCTCTGACATATGATCACCCTACCGTGGCGGACGGGCCTATGGCCCAGAGCAGCGATGGCATTCAACCCAGCCCCCAACGCGGCGTTGGGCAAGGTAGGGGAGGAGGGGTCCTGGCCCAGCGAGGGAGGAACAGGATCTGACACCGCGGGGCTGCTCGCAGTGTGGAGGCGCGCCTGGGGTTCAGCCGAGAAAATGATGTCGGCGCGGCAGCGCTCAAGGTCGCTGCCCTGGCACCTCCTAGCGGCCCCGCTGCACATTACTCGCAGTGTGGCTTCGCTCCTGGCAGACATATTGCACTTCCTGCAACGCCATTCAGCACGAGTCGGCAGACGGTAAATCTCATGCTCTACGAGTGTCAAATTGATTCGCTCCCCGTATTGACTCACGGAAGTCACTGGGGGCTCAAACGTCTTGGAGCATTCACCAACGATATGGACCGCGCGCGCCAAGAAACCCCAGGTGGCTTTGCAGGCCTTCAAATGGGCCTTCTCCGCGTCCAGACAAACCTGAGCAAACTGATGATCCTGGGCTCCAAGGCGCGCAAAAAAGCCGGCCCAAGAGTTACCCAAGAAACAGGTGATCTGTCCTTGCTCCAGAGACATGACCTCGGCCATGTCTCTGTGTGCAGGGACCCATTCAAACTCAGGCGGAGGCCTATGTTGCTCGAAGAGCTGGAAGATACGACGCCACACGTCCGCATGTCGTGACATCCCGCAGGCCAGCTGGGGACTCCAGCTCTGTCCTTCCTGCACAAAGGCTAAATGATCACTATATATTTTGGTCGCCTGGGGGGCTACCGAGAGAGCCATCAATCCCGCGTACCGCTCCGCACGGGGCACCGACTGGCGCCCAGGGAGCGGCCCAAACACCGCCCTCAAGGGCAGCCCAGGGTCCGACAACTCCACCGCGGCCCATCCACACCTACGCAGTTCAGGGCTCGCGTTCGCAAGCCCCGAGCCGTCAGTGTAGATCCGCCGACCCCAGGGAAGATGCGTAGCCCCCCAGTGGAACACAGGGCACTGCGTGGGTTGGGGCGCTAACTTGATGGGATGGTAAGGCAACCCGCACAGCTCCAGAGAGTCCCACTCAGGGTCGCCAAGCCCATTGTCCCCAAGACCCCGCAGATACTCCCTGCGCTCCAAGACCTCCTCAGGAAGGGATTCAACAGGCAGCTCCTCAGGTGGGTGCAGCAACCCTTCGCAATTATACAACTGGTGCCCTAAAGTGCCAGCCTCAGAACTCTCGCACATCTCGCACTGGTGGCTGTCAGAGATCCCAAGGGCCTTCTTCCTCGCTGGGGGCCACAAAGCGGAGCCGAGCAATCTGCGGGCGCAGCCTCTATGTATCGGATTCTTCAAGCTGAGAACCGAGCTGCGAAGTGCACGCCTCCAGACTCCATGAGGATTCCCAACTATAGGCTGCATGTGGCTCACAATACGTAGCATCTGCCATCGTCCAATGCTCTGTCGCAACAACAGCTTCACATCCCACGGCGTAGTGGTAAGAAGGTTCACGAGGGTGCCCTGGTCGTCGTATAGCATATGTGCCGACGCCATCTTCCAGTCCACCCTGTGCAGGCTGAGCGACACCGCCGAGAGAGGCCCATTACATCTGGCCCACGTGTATTCACCATTCCAAGATTCCATCATGGCAGCCCACGCCCGCTGTAGCTGACTGAGTGGTACCAATCCATCCCAAACTGTGATAGCATATCTGCAAACTAGCTCTGTCGTGACGTCGAATATCGGGTCAAACCATTCATCGCTCTGTGTGGCAAGCCAAGCCGTCAGACAAGCGTGTGATTTGGCTCCCACCAACGAGCCTGCCAGTGTGCGGAGCTTTGCCAGCGTGGCAGGGACGACTCCGCTAGCTCCAGCTCCATGTGCTGCAGCGGGCAGCAGGCCCGTGCGCCACAGAGTATGTACCTGGGCTCGTCCCCTTTGCAGCGCCGCCAACTTGCCTCTCCTGGCCAGGACGCCCATGACACGCTTTCTCTCTTGAATACGTCTGAGTCGCACCCCCGCCAGCTCGTGTCCTAGATTGCGCATGTGCTTGTGGCAGCGAAACCGAATGAGTCCCCCAAGCTTCTTCGCCACTCGTGTCGCCTCCGTAGTGCCACCCACGCAACCACTTTTGTCTACCTGAATGATGAGACCCAGCGGCTGCACATGACGAATAAACCATCGTACTGCATGGAATAGGACGACCGCCTGAGAGGGTTCTGCACCTATCCATTGAAAGCTAACGTCATCCATTAAAGCCCGTGGCACCACCTCCGTATACTTCCTGCGCAGGGCCTCCAAGGACTGGCAGAGAAGCAGGTGGACCATGGCGCAGGCGTGAGAGCATCCCGCCAATATGCCCTGCGCGGAGGTGAACTTGGTGGACAGTGACCCGTAAGCTCGCACCTGCCGTGGTGCCTGATATGTGTGGATAAGCATCCAAAGTAATCTCATCGGAAAATGCATCTTACTAGCTCTGTCCAGCAGCGCAGTATGTCGTATCGTCTCGAAACACTTGTACATGTCAATGAGTGCACTGACCGTATGCATGCCATTGAGCTTCGCCGTCCCTGCAGCTATGTTGTGCTGAAACGCGGCATCGGTAGAAGTCGCCCCAGGCCTCGTGCCCCAAAAGGCGGTAGAAGGGTTGGCGAGCTCCCACCTCTTGGATATCCTTCGTCGTAGTCGGCTCCAAATACGGACCACAGTATTGATGAGCGCGATGAGGCGGTGGCCCCCCGTGGGCTTGGGAAGCCTCACTAGCACCGTGGTGACCCTCTGCGACGGCCAACACGCCAACCTCTCGCATTTGTGAAAGAGAGATGCAAGGACTCCCAATCCAATGTCCGATACTTGGGTCAATGCACGGGGTTGGATCGATACCTGCCCAAGCGCCGTAGTTGCTTTGAATCGTCTGAGGGTGTTACGAATGTCTTCGATTGTGATCTCAGGTAACTCCTCCCACT